ATTTTCACAATTGCTTTTGCTGTTTTGTTTTAAAATGCATGTTTTTTTTACGCTGGACCGCTGATGCCTGATGGTCCTTCTCAGCCAATCACAGTCCGTCATTTCACCGGAAGTGGTATGGTATGGTAAAACTTGGTGAAACATATAATAAATTGTCATAATCTCCTGTTTCTCGATTTGTTTCTCGTTCGTCATTTAGGTCCAATCATAAACTCATTCTTAAATTGTGTGCACGGAATACGAGTAAATAACCAACATGAAAATGAGGCCATTGGGTCAAAAGTGGATATGAAGTACTGTTTAATAAACGAGCAGGATTGTTTTATTTGGTTTAAAGCCACGAGCGCGCAGCGCGAGTGGCTTTAGACCAGGGCACTGTAAAACACGGGCGGTGAAACGGAGATAGCGCCCCTGATCTTTGTGTGATGCGCGTTTTTGATCTTTGTGTGATTTTGATCTTTGTGTTTTTGATCTTTGTGTGATTTTTTTTTATCTTTGTGTGATCTTTGTTTTTTGATCTTTGTTTTTGATCTTTGATTTTTCTGATCTTTGTGTGATGCGCATAATTTATAATGTAAATAAAAATGGAATTGGAATGTTTATGCAAAAAACTGAAAAAAGTGCTGAAAAAACTAAAGTAAAAATGTTTTCCGCACATTCTTAAACAACTTGATGGATTCATTTTATGTATATCTGATCAAGGAAAAAGGGCTTTAAAGATTCATCATGAGCGAAATAAAAATTTGAAAAGGAATCGAGCTGATCGAATGTGGGCATATTCCAAATGGCAAATACGAAAATTTTGGTGTTAAATGGGATATTTTACTCCATAATGCGAAGGTATGATAAACATTTTCACAGTAAGAATATTCTGACATTGCTCGGCTACTATTTTTCAATAATCATATAGCCCAAAATTGACCATGCATGCATTTAATAAAACAGCTAGAATTTGAAAAAAACAACTACAATTTGCTCGACATGTACAATTTGAAAACTTAAATATATAACCGTTTTTGTGTTAACCAGCCGGCCTGCTCGGATTCCATTGAAAGTTCATTGTAAAGTGTTTTTTTACTAATTGATTTGATTTCTATTATTGGTATAACTGCCGCCGACACTCCAAAAATATTCAGCGTGAATCTTTTTTCGTGCGACTGCAGTCGTTGACATTACAGTGACAGTGTTACGGAAAACTATAAAGGCTGCAAAATATCTCCATTTTATGAAAAAAGCACAAAAAAGCCCCGTTCAATTCTACGTTAGACATAAAGCCAAGTTAAATGTCTATAGTTTGATGTGTTCAGATTTATCTCAACCTATCTCAACGAGGAGAAAACACTATTTTAATTACGTCCGCGCTTTGACAAAAAATAAAAAAATGTCGTCAAAATGGAGTTCAAAATGCATGCTTTTCCTCAACAATCGCTTCGTTCATTTTGCAAGTGAAATAGAGACCAATTTTAGCAATATAAGCTGATACTAGATACTTCAATAAACATTTATAGCGATTTATAGTATGTATTTGAGGCAGGAAGTAATTTCGTTTAATTGATAATTGAAAATTTGTGTTGTTTAAATATCGTAATATCTGCATAAATAAGTATAGTAGTTGCGATTCTATTGTTGTGTTAAGTATACGGAAAACTATAAAGGCTGCAAGATATATCCGTTTTATGAAAAAAGCACAAAAAAACCCCGTTCAATTTTAATTGAGACATAAAGCCAAGTTAATTAAATGTCTATAGTTTGGTGTGTTCAAATTTATTTCAACCTATCTCAACGAGAAGAAAACACTATTTTAAAACGTCCGCGCTTTAAATTTTGCAAATACTTTCATCGCTCGAGTAAAATTTTTGCCCTGATATTTTCTTTCAACGAGTGTTCAGTAACAAACAACACAAGCTATTACATGTGATATAACCATAGATATCTTATATACACTAGATAGTGCATCTAATTATTCTGCAATTCAAAAATTGAAGCCGTGATTGCAGTCTCAAGTCGTTCCCATGAAATGAGAAGATTCGTATGTTTTCTATTTCTTAAACAGAGAACTTGTATACATCAAGTTAACCCTATTCAAATACGTTTTTAAACTACAGTCGAACCCCTATTAAGCGGACACCTTCGGGACATCGCCTAAGTGTCCGTTTAAAAGGGGTGTCCGCTTAAAAGGGTATGTACAAAAACACAGCGGGAGGCAAAGGTGTGTAATTATGTTTGTAATTTGAGTATCAAAACAATAAAATATATCTAGCAAATAATTAGCATAAAATGAAAATTTCTTTGTGCATAAAAGTTCATCAGAAAATGAATACGTCTCTCACAGTCATGTAAAAAAAGAATCGATACAAGTTTGCTTTCGAGGCTCGCGCAGACGATAGCCCATTATAATGTCACTTACAGAAAATGGCGTTGGAAAGTTCTTCCAAACCTCGAAATTGTGCGAATTCTGCCAGCCGCTCGACAACTTTAAGGGCTTCGAAGGACGATTTAATGAGAGACCAGTCAAATTCGTCATCTTCGTTCAGTTCGTTGTCATCATCAGTGATCTGACACATATCTTTTGGCTCCTCGGCTGGCGGTTCACAGTCCTCCGTCCTTGTTCGTCACTTAATTCTTCAATAATCTTGGCTCTGATGTCTTCGTGCCAAGTTGGTGTGTCACTGCCAATGTGCCATGTAAATTGATCTCAATTGTTATTTACTGTCGAATGTTGAATACGTTTTATCAGACAATCCGTCATCTGTCCGCTTAAGAGAGGTTGGTTTGCCCATTGCGACCTCGAGTAAGGTGTCCGCGTCCGTTAAAGAGGGGTGTCCGCTTAATAGGGGTTATGATAATAGTATTTCATTAAAGAAAACGAATGGGACCTGAGATATGTGTCCGTTTAAAAGAGGTGTCCGCTTAAGAGACGTGTCCGCTTATAGGGGTTTGACTGTATTCAAATGATGAAAGTTATTGTTGTTTTTAAGCGTTTATTAGCAAGTGGGAACGACCAACATGGCCGCCATCTATTCAAATGGGAGTAACCGCTGGAATATTCTTGGCTTCAATTTTACTAAAAGAGATGCGCTATCTAGTGTATATAAGATATCTATGGATATAACTTATTAAATAATATTTCAAATTTTAATTAACGAAACATAATTACTTAGCATTTAAATCCTTTGTTTTCTCGTTTGCTTGTTTACATTTTTTTGTTGCCATCTTGTACGCGATTTTATGGTTATTTTTTAAAGAAAGCGCGCTCGCGCCAATCCTAATGTGCATCACACGTAGCACGGTCATTTATTAGCGCGTTTCCCCGCCCGTGTTCTACAGCGCCTTGCTTTAGACCTAATAAAACACAACCTGCGAGTTTATTAAACGGCTTCAAACACGCTAAAAATTCAATAGATATACTGCCTTATTAGTATTCTTTATATAAAGAATATTAATCAGGAGTGTTTTATCAGGTTTAAAGCCACTGCACGTGACAGATTAGTTGACATGATTTGCCAATATTAAGCTTATGAATTATTAACAGCATGAGCTCCACCTTTGAATTTACTATATGAGTAAATTCTTAAACACGTCCGAATTTATCATCATGATAAATTCGCGGCAAATTTTGAATTTATCATAATAATAAATTCGCGGCACCTAACCCCAACCCTAACCACTAACCCCTAACTCCTAACCACTAACCACTAACCACTAACCTCTAACCCTAACTTTTTTAACTTTTTAAATTTTTTAAACTTTATTAAAAATCTAACTTTTTAAACTTTTCTTGCTTTTCAAAATTCTTTTAAAAGTTTTTAAAACTTTTTTAAAAACTATTTTTTTAAAAAACTTGAAAAACTCAAAAAACTTGAAAATGGTATTGGTATTTTGGTACTTGGTATTTTGATAGCTACCACAAAGCTTTTAGCGCGGACTATATTTCGCGTAGTACTAACATTTGCGCACCTAGCAGTGCGCGAATTCTAGTACTGCCCGAATATTAAGTCTAAAACTATCGTAAGAATTAGGAGATTTTGTTTAATTAAAACTACGTTGTGTAGTCAAACTGTCAAACCTTTAACTTGTCCTTGTTTATATTCCACTATATTGTATAAATTCGCCGGGTCCGAATTTTGAGGTTTTCGAGTCGTTTAATACAAAAAAAAAAACATTAAAGTGCCACTGCGATGGAAAATTGTGCTGTCTTTTTATTACATATTCAGAAAGTATATCAGTAGATAAACAAAATTACCAAATATCAGCGTCCAATTCCATTTCCTTCTGCCTTTTTTTTCCAAGCAAACATGCAAATTTTCGGCCGCCATTACTGAGTTATCAATTTGATAATTGCTGCTTGCCCTCAGGCAAGCAGCACACTATTCTTGACGTAACATGAAGTTCTTCGCATTCACTTGTGCCCAGTGTCTTTGGCCGAGTTATGTAAAGCCGTTCCAAATCTCGACTTGCATTTTCAAATGGATGTCCGGATTTTCAAACCGGAGGTATTTAAGTATGCAAAGTTATTATAAAAAGTGGGGGGTGCGGTTCTTTTTTATCGATGCTTCCCGAACTCCTTTGAGAGTTTGAGTCCTTTTTCGGAGAGCTGTCACAGAGTTGCATGTTTCGAGGTAAGTTGAGTAAAATCCAATTTTATATATATATTTACAAGCTCTGTTTACTTTGTGAATGTTCGTTTTTTGCCAGTTAACGTATTGAGTCTAAATAGTTGATCATGATTGCTCAATACACAGATTAATCTGCATTTATTTTGCATTTATTTTGCATATTCGTATTCATTCAATCATCCTGAAATATCTTCTCAATCCGAGTGTCAGTGAACTCTATAATATCCAGTGAACTGTATATATAGATTATAGAGTAGATAAGGTTCCAATGACCAGATAACATCTGGTCATTAGAACCTTAGTAGTAAAATGTGTCTACGGCCCATAATTGTGGTGGAGTCAATTGATGCATATACACAGGCATAAAGTCATTGCAATTTATATGCTGATTTATACAGTTACACCAACAAGTCGTGCCATCCTGACAGCTCGAAATATTCTATGGAATGTTACTTCAAAAAAATATAGACAGAAATGGATAATTGTTGAGAAATGACATTTAAAGAGAGATTGACATTAAAGAGAGATTGACACTTCTATTCCTCTGTTATGTCAGGGGCAAGACACTATGGGCCATTCTATTTAATGTCCAACACCCCCAGCCCCCTATGGATGGATTTTTCTGAAGGGTGACTGTTGTAGGTTTGGGTTCAATATTTAGGCGGATAAATTGACAAGAAGTCAGACAAACAAAAGTACAAAACACTATATTCAATAACAACCTTGAACATTATTACATGAAGTATTTATAGCTATGGAACCGGATGTGACGTGAACATGCAAATCACAACAGTGACTACATTTGAAGTTGTTTCTGAGGGGTTAAGCCTGTCGGCATCCTTGATCTCTGCAATTTTTCTAAGGAGTATTGGGGAAAATTTACACTTTTTGAGGGTTTTGTAGGGGTTAAATTTTACTGACCTCATCCATGGGAGGGTGGGGGGGGGGGATATTAAATGGAATGGCCCTATATTGACATTAACATGAACAGTTATGACTCCTGTTTCTTTGGTTAACATGGTTGTACACAATTTAGTCAACCTGACTAGTGCTGTCCTTCAAACGCCTCTGTTCAACTACATGTACTTTTCAATTTTCTTTCTTTAAGATCGTATTGTCAAACCCTGGAACATTCTATGTAAGAGAAGTCTGACATATTTTCCAGTCCTATTTCTTTCAAAAAATGCAAATTGCGTGCCTGTCTGTGCTCATGCACTTTTATGTTCATCGTCATTTCTGTCTATGTGTCTATTTACTTCTACCGTGTGTGTATTGTATGTTTATATTTTGTGCAGTTAGTCCACATGTCTTTTTCTTCATTCTCTTCTTCCTTCTCTTCTTTTAATTTGTATATGTTGAATATGTTAGTTTGTAAACTTGAAATAGTTTTTGTACAGTTAGTTTTTGAAGTGTTGTAATCTCAATTTTTGAAATGAAATAAATCGTACATAAAGTGTTTCTTTGTATGGGTACCAAGGCTGCCCAGAGAATTTGTGGGGCCCAGGACAAATCTTCCCTGGGGGGCCCATTAAATCATTATTTCTAATTAGCTAGACCCAACTAGACCTTAACTAGACTGCATGTGGATGAATAGTAAGGGGCCCTCAATTTCAAAAATTCTCTGACCAATTTAAAGAACCTATTCAATTTTAGGCTTTCGCTCTCAAGTTGGGGCCCTATTAAGGTGGAGCCCAGGGCAATTCGTCCTATACTCCCCCCTCCCCCCCCCCTCCTGATGGGTACATGTAAATGTATTTTAAGCGAAATGAAAATAATTTTGTATTTAGTTTTCAGATATATTTGAGGTTCCAGTATTTGCCTGTGGATCCAAAGCAGCACTTTCCTTGCGATAGTAACCCCTAGTATTTTGGTAATTTTTGCTGATATTTGGTAATTTTGTTTATCTATTGATATACTTTCTGAATGGGTTTTCGAGTCTTTGCACAAAGAAAAACACATTAAATCAAGACTCAAGAAAGTCAAGAGTACGACACAACGTAAAATCCATAGGAAACCGGCACAATTCTTTGAAAATTCAACAAAACTGTGTGAAATATATTTTGATCACTCTGGAAAAAGCAGCCATTTTGAAACTGGACTGAATATGTCACTGGAGCACTCTACCCTTGGAGGTCGGAATTGTGCGCGTGCGTACAAGTGTATAAACAAGTGTATGGGCTAATAAACGAAAAAGTACCACAAGCATGGCATGAGCCGGCTATTACGTACATAAATACAAGCTTCTTACCATAGTCTTAGGATCATGGAACCAAGGAATCATTGGTATTTTGGATTGATCGTTGCACCCTGAGCCTGCGATGCTCTAACGCAAACTCGATTTTTCGACTACGAAAAAAAACAGGAAAAGACAGGAAAAAACAAACGTAGGGATTCAAGACACCTGACCTTTCAGGTCAGTGTAATAATCTAGCAGCCATAGAGCTATATTACATGATTTATATACAAAGCATTTTTTACAACTATTTACAAAATTTTTAAACATGCATTCTATAAAATTATCTCCAAGCTATTAGTACGTATGGCATTGAAATACCAGCCGTCACAAATTTACAAATTTATTAAACTTGATATTATGAATGTATCTCTAAATCTATTGGTAGGGTATTTTTTATTTTTTAATATACCAAAATGTATATTAAAAAGTTTATTATTCCTAAAATTATATTTGGATGTCATTTTAGGTGGTAGTAAAGGTGGAGTTAAACGAGCAACAAAATTGCTGCAACTTGCAACAAAATTTCTACGCATGTTAATTGAAATGTTTACACATAAATTACAAATCAGAAGGCAACATGTGTCGACATTTCTACTTAACATGCGTTGAAATCAGATTTTGTTGCAAGTTGCAGCAATTTTGTTGCTCGTGTAACTCCACCTTAAGTTACGAAGTTTGCGTTCTTCCAATTGTTTAAAATTGAAACGAATAGTTTATTACATAGATCACCCTTTCGTACGTATAAAGTCTTTAGTCGTAACATGTGTAGAGCGTCCTCATAGGATAGTTCAGGGTAGATAATACGTAGCACTCTCTTTTGAATCTTTTGGATTACTTCCGACAGATATTGTGATAAACCATAATGCAAGACAGCCAAGATTTGACATGTTTATTTAAGTATTGACCTTGTTGAAGCGACATAAAAGCACTTCGGATATATCACCAGCGTCACGTCCAAACCTTTTAACCTGCTTCAACAAATAGTTTCGCTTCGATACCTTATTAACCATTTTGCCACAAGTTCGTTCCATTTTAAATCACTTGTGATAGATAAACCAAAGATCAACAATTTCTCTGCTCGATCAATCTGTGACCATTAATAATAATGAGAGGGAAGTTAGGTTAATTCCGTTCGAAGGACACTACAAATTATTTAAATTTTGGAAGATTAAGCTGGAATTTATTTATTTGAGACCAGTTAATTAAGCAAAGAAGCTGTTATCTCTTGCAAAAAACTGTTAGCTGCATGTTTAACGATGTACTCTGAGACATTAGTGTCATCCGCCGATCCGCGTATTTCATCATATCCCCATCGAATTGTTCGTTGGAAATTACAAGGTCATTGACCAGAAAAAGCTATGGACCGTGCTTGGTTCCTTGCGGGACACCAGCTAATATTAACAGGTTTCCAATGGAGAAAAATTTCGAGGAATCTGTAATCTTCCTCTCAAATAAGCCGAGATCCAGTTTTAGGTCGATGGTTTACGACTTAGTTCTAAACGTTTTGCATAGGGAATATTATGATCTAGAAGGTCAAAAGCTTTCCGATAATCTGTAACCAGTGATCGCACACATCCGCCCTCATTGTCTACTGTCTCCGACCAACGATGGATTAAAGCCCGTTCTCCACCAGGCGAATTTGTTCGCGCGAACAGTAAAAAGTAGGAAGTGATCCAAGATTTGTTTTTCGCTTCGCGCGAAAAATTCACCTAGTGGAGAACGGGCTTAAGGCGATTAATGCAAACGTGGTATTAGAACCTGGAATGAAACCAAATTGATTGCAATTCAGGTAATTCGTAAGTGCTCTGCCTCGTACCCAGGCGTCTCTTTGTAAAAAAACAGTGATGCGCATATGACGAGTTTACATGAAGTATTGTAGTGGGGGGGAAATGGCGAAGGGGCTGATGGGAAGAGTGCACTTGAACTGCGAGACTTCTTGGTCGATTTCTTGCAAGAAAGTCGATTTCTTGCAAGGTGTGCTATTTCGCTGTCGTTTACGATTTCTTGCTACTTGTTTTTGTTGAATTGACTAATGTTAATATTCTTCTGTCGTCTGGGCGTGAATTCATGCTGTTATTCTTGGTATATATGACATATGCCTTATTTAAAGTCCATGGAAATTCCAATATTAACATGTCAACAACCGAAGCGTTGAAGAACTAGACTTGCAGAAACTAGATTTGTAAGCTATAACTATATAAAGGTACAAACTATAAAATTGCACTGTTGAGGTAAATATTTCAAACTTTACGGCTGTGAACTTTTATTTACTTGGGCTTTCGTTTACATTTAATAGAAATTGGCATTGTGTTCGACTGATATATCGAGCCTTCAGCTAAAGAAGTTATGAATACAAAAGCAATTATATGACTTTCTAATTATTTCTCTGTTACTGTTTTATACTAAGCAACTGATAGCATTCTATTATTCTCCATGTAATACCGAATGACATATTCGAAATATTCGCACGGTTAACTTGCCATGTAATTTACTCATAATTTTTTGCGCATTTTGTATGTCATCAAACATCTACAAATTTATTATTATTTGCCAATGGCGTTCAATTCGACTCTCCGTCAGAAAATAAGGTTTTACACACAGAGTATATGACGATATGGTAACGTTTTGTATTAAATTCCATGATTGTCCGCCATGACAGTATACAAGAACTGCCAGGCGCTCCCCAGCACGTACCCTTCCCAACAGCCCCTTCGCGCGTTGCCTGCCTGCCTGCCTGAATACTTCATGTATTGTAATTATTTAAAGCGCCTGGGTACGAGGCAGGTAAGTGCTGATTTGAGAACGTATTTTATAATGGCATCTTCGGCAAGTGGAAAACACTCATCAGTGTCGCGTGCACTCGACGATAATAGAATAAAAAATGCGCACCTTTTTAAATAGCGCGATAATGCTAACAATTGGCACGATTTATTAATTGAAATTATTTCTTCTTCTTCAAAGTAATTTGTTGCTAGGTTACAAAAAGTAATTTGTTAGTGAAGAGTTGTTCTGGTGCATATTTTTACCGCAGCAGTTTCAGGAGGCCTAAAAGAGAATATATCATAACAAAATGAAAATTTGGTTGAATTTTATGCAAGGGTATAAGAAGAGTTCAGAAAACAACCATGGATCAGAAAACGTATATAAATAGTAACCGAAATCTGCTTTATCGTCGTGATTCGTAAACACTGAATTGTTGGTTGCAGTGTCACAGCATCCTGAAGCTTATGATTATGCGGAGAGGACGTTCAAGTAAGGAGGCAGCGATAGTGCGTTTATACCAGGGTTTATACGTACATAAGACTGTAAGGGTAAGTAAAATTACGAATTGCGACTTTTGTCATAGTTTGTAAAGATATGCTTTTGTGAGATTTTAACTGAGCGCCAAGTTGTACTGCTCTAATGTGTATTGTCAAAATGTCATGGTAGTCAGTCTTGCTTTCGTTTCGCTTATCTTAGTGATCCGAAATAGAATATGTGTGTGTATTTTAGATCGTTTAAAAAACGGGAGCGCTTATTTAACATGTAAATAAGCAATATTAATATGTTTATCCAAATACCTAACTCTAAATTGAACGCGTTCCAAACTATCTTTGCATTTTTCAAAATAATATTTTTTCGACAAATATTATTATTTTCGACAAATATCGTTTATTAATATGTAAAATAAATATTTTTTCGACAAAAACAGCCTTATTTACAAAATTTTGCTAACACCAAAAACCTTTTAATCAAAAGAGCCGAATTTTGCAGATAAAATAGTATCGCCTCGATCCGTAAAAAATAATAATATTTGCAATACATGTGACTATATCTTACGATTTCAAAAACACCTTGGATAAAAAACGAAATGTGCAACACTGCATTGGGTTGGAAATATAAAAGTATCATGCAATGTTTTCTATATAGTTTAAATACCCTTAAGCTTAAGCAGCCGAGACCAGACATTGCAAAAATTAGACGTCCAAAGTATCAGAAATTCTGATAGTTTTCAAATCTCCTATATGTGAAATATACTTAAAACTGCAGAGACTGGTAGACAGTCCAAAGTATCAGAAATTCTGACACTCTTGAAATCCTGTACATATGAAATATACTTAAAACTGCAGGGACTGGTAGTCCAAAGTATCAGAAATTCTGATACTTTTCAAATCTTGATTAATAATTCAATAATTTTCATTAATAATTCATGAAGCAATTATCCAATCTTGAGTAAGAAATTAGTCATGTGCATACGTCTTTATACCAGCTAAAGAACACTTTAACAAAAGACCATTGTTATGCAAACTATATAGAGATTTTTATATAAAGATTTTTATATAAAGATTTGACTTATTATGCAAACGTTCTTGAAGCCATTTAAAAAACTCGCAGGTCGTGTTTTATTAGGTCTAAAGCCACTCGCGCTGCGCGCTCGTGGCTTTAAACCTAATAAAATATCCTGCTCGTTTTTTAAATAGTACATAGTTAATGGATAAAATAACCTATTATCTATGTTAGTCAACGTTTATTCATAAATCTGGTCCTTCACCGTCACGCGCGTATTGTATTTTTGTCCAACTAACCAATAACACTGTTTTAGGAAAGTTACCTATCGGCGACTCGAACAATAGGGTAAATTGGAAATTGCTATTGGTGGATTTGGCAAAATACAATACACGCGTGACGGCGAAGCAACGTATTTACGAATGAACGTTGACAACCATCGATAATGAGTTATATTGTTATTCTAGTGAGTTTCCAAACCATCTATTCTATTAACTATCAATATATCCGTTCTAGTACAAATCCTCATACTCAGGGCGTATATAAAAAGTAATCCAACTTCAGTATGTTTCCGTGCGTTAGCTATTGAGTTTATCGATAAAAATTTTATACAGTAAGAAAAATTTAGACTTTTAGCTGTCCAATGATACTTTTTGTATCATTATAAGAGAAAATGGCCAAATATGAATCGAATAAAAATTACCGGTGTGAATCGCACTTTTTTCACCATTGGGAATTTGTTGAAAAACTATTGAAAGTAAATCCATTATAAAATTCATGAATTTTAATTTAAAATGCCTTAACATCTGGTCACTCCTGTTTTTTTTTTAACCTTAAAAGTTTCTTGTTATAGCTTATTACATGACATATTAGAGATTAATTGGTTTTTGATTCATTTGTTCTGCACAGCTTCAATAATGCACATTGGTGGAAAAATGTGATTTCAACCGGCAAGTTTCAATTGGTTATTTGGCTCGTATTTTATCATTTTTGCTATAACAAAGAGGTCATCCAAAAGTTAAAACTCTAATATATTAATATGTAAAATAAATCTTGGTCATCAATATTGAGCGCATAAGATCCCCTAAAGTTGGATTACCTTTTTGACACATCCTGCCTGCGTGTACTGATGAATATCTTCCATCTTGCTACAGTTCAGTGCACATAGAGGGCAGTTACACACAAGGATCTCATTAAAATCTCATTACTTGCCCTCCATCTACTTTTGTTTTACATCTCGTGAGATTGCTCGAAAACTATCTAAAAGCATCTGTTCATAGTCTGTGAAGATATGATGGTCTGGAAGCCCGGCAAACGTCAAAGCAACACAATCGAAGACCTTCGTTTGATGTTGAACTGTACCTCATCGTACACAAATCTTTTGTCTCAATTTCATTAAATATTATTCATTGTGGTTGCACGTTTCATCTCGGCTATCCCAAATAGTCGATTACTTCATTATACTTCATTATACGACAATACAATCAGCCTATCACCGTGACTGTGCACAAATGAATATAAACTCAGCCAAAAACATAACACAATGCTTCTGGTTTAGTTTGCAGACCATCGTATCTTTATAGACTATGAACAGCTTTTTTGCCAAAAGCAACGGGTAGAGTGCCATAAATTTATTGATGCATGCAGGGTAGAACTGTAAGTACAAAATATGGAAACTTCGATATGTTTAGTTCTTTGAAAATAAGAGAAGTATTGGTCGTGAAGGTAAAAAATTATCATGGATATGACTTTCTTTCGTAATGTCGTCAATTGTTTAATGTTATTAATAATTTCTGATTCATTGTATCAAAATTCTTGATCCCAAAATACTGATGAGAATCCAAAATACTGACGAGACAAAGAATTAATTTTATTAATTTAAATTCAGTAATTTGTCAAGAATTGTTATCTCTATTATAGTACTTAAAACAATCCATTGTTAATGAAATTAAAAAAAAAAGAGTTTTTTTGGGCAATTGTGAACTAAAGCCTAGTAATTTGATTTCTAACTACGCATTGTAAATCGGAGTATTGTAAAGAGTACTCAACATTATAACTACACACGGGCCTCGCTCAGCTGGTCAAATGAAAAGATTTGCGCTCATAGCCAGTACTAACAACACAATGTTGACAGTGAATATAGCGCCGTTGCCACCTGGGCATTTCGGGTTGTCCAGTTTGGCATGTTTCATACCAGGAGTCTAGAAAATGCAAAACCAAATGTTAAGTTTCTTGTAATAACAACATGTATAAATTACACTAACGTCTTACAAGAAATGAATATTAATGATATTAAATGTATTTATTAGTTATAATAAAGGAAGTTAATGTCGAGGAGATGATCGCAGCATAGTTATTTGCCGGGGTTTGACCACCGGGTATTTTTACCCTCTAATACTATAAATAACCTTGCCTTTGCCGACCAGTTGATAACTGGTCGTTCGCTTCGCCCGCAACCCTCCCCTAGCAACCACCTCCTGACAGTCGGGTTTTTGTTGTTGGTTGGGGTTTTATTTGTGATTTTTTTTGTGTGTCTTGTGGTCTCAGTCTTTTTGTTAGGACATGAGTTCGTGATCAGCCTTGCGCCGTTGGGGCGTGTGGATCTCAGGTACTGGTAGTCGACCGTGAGGGTAAGCATACTTTACATTTTTGTTTGGTGTGGTTGCGTATGTGTGTTTGTTTATTTCTCTCTTCTACGTGTTTCGCTTCTTGTGATTCACGTGTGACTGTGTGATCAGGAGATGGAGAGGGTACCGTTTAGGTTCCAGATGTGGTGGTGTTAGACATGACCAGGAAAAAGCTTGGACGATGTTCGCATTATCGGAGCCTAGCATGATCGCTTCGCCAAACGCTCGTTCGCATTGGCCAAGCTCGTTCGCTTCGCCGTGCTACCGTCTCCATCCCTACCGATCGGCAACGGGCAATACTAGTTAGTAGGTACTGTAATGCTGCATGCCTATTTCGCACAATTATGGCTGATGCTAACCCCAGCATTGTTAATTAATTTATTTAAGCATCATGTGAGTTCATGAATTATAATTTATGGGAATAGACCTTTCCGGAAGGTACATAGCCTTGGCTATAGTATACAGCTTCGTTGTCATGATTGAAATATTGGCCTTAATTCAAGCCCTTTATCTTGTTAGTGATCACCTAATTACATAAAAGATCTTTTATATTATCTATTATAAATTCTGAACGCTGATAAGCTAAGAGCGGTGTTATGAATATAACTCAATGTCAACACGGAAAATTTCTTTTTTTATATCTCTTTGTGCTACATATATATGGTTTGCTCGCAGTGTGATTTGAAAACCTTTTTCCGTTTGCTCAGGCGTCAAAAACTGGACCTTGGATAAATACAGGTCGTCGATACAACGGGCTAGAAGCATATAGAACAAAATCAAAAGGAAATTAACCATACCATTTTCTGCAGCACAACAGACTTTACTCCAAGCCAGTATGTTGGTCGATCTTTTGCGATTGTTGCCACGAAATAAATTTTCCCAGTCGTCATTGTAGATGGTTTCCATTCAAAACTTAGCATATTGTTTTCCCCCAGAACTTCGCTGTGTGTTACCGCAGCCAACTATAGAAGAAAATTAAGAAGTAAGTTCATTATTGTTATCGGCTTCGCATTTCAGTGGCAGCTGCATGTAACGTTACAAATTCCGAAGTCGAAATTGCTCATTGGTAACTAGGTGTTGAGAGACCAGGGTAATCGAAAGTATACGTAGTTTTTTGACTATGTATCAGCCCTTTGTATAACTTAACGTGATTTTAATAAAATTGAGACATATAACTATTTCCAGCTAACTAACCGTGATGTAGTGTTGACGAAAATGAAATGTTCTGGGCAAAACCATGGAGGCCTTTCGGGAACTCCGATTAAAGGCGGGACCATGTTTCGTTTTGTTTCGTTGTACTGCCGACTTAAATTGCCCAAATCGGATTATTGTGATATGTAAAACAGAAGTGTTCAGTGCTATAGGTTTAGTAGAGCTCCAGTTAATCACTTTTACTTAACATGCTCAATGCGAATTCAAAAAAGCTGTTTCCTGGCAAATTTGAACGGATTGTGGCTTCCTTTGCTATCCATAGTTCCCACCCAAAATCGCGTGATTTCTTATATAGAGTGAGGTATAATATTGCTGTGTGACTGCAAGACCTAAATACAGTGTATCGCCATTAAATACATGCTATACGTACCGCAGTTTCGGCGTTACTGGACGTACAATTAAGATGCTTAGTCTTTTGGGGAATCTTGCTAAAATTACCAAGCGGTATTGCTTTGCCTTCTTCTCTTGCTTCAATGAGAAAACCTCCAATTACAGTATTTCCACAGACTTTGATATACACTTTAACTGTACCGTTTTCGCTGTAATATGTCTTGTCTACTTGAATCACATACGGGGCCATTGTATCTTGAGCTGGGCCGTGTTTTCCTACACTTGGCATCATTGTTATACATGTTCCTGCGGGTGCTCCAGTGGGCAGAGCATTTGCAAGCCGATAAAACAAAGGTACGAAAGCGCACAGGAGGAACAGTTGGTTCATTTCAGCGGAGGTCCTTTCGCATTAAACGAGGGGTAGGGAATGATATTCGAACGGTAACGACGTGATGTGTATAGCCATGATCAGGATAACATCATACATAGTTATATAATTGGACTGTAGTTTCGTTTTGTTTATGATGCATGCAGGAATGCGGTAACCAGGAAGGCCGTTAAATACAAAACAGTCAATCTTAATATCAGACGCCGCTACGATAAAAGTGCTACAGTCGGCATTCCACTCATTAATACGAAAATTTATAGGTCTAATGAATGGACATTGCCCAAGGACAAATTTGGATAAAAATCGGACTAGGAATTAGCAAACGTTTGTCTTGTTTTCCCGGGTAGAGCATCATATAAATGAGTAACTAGCCATTGTATAATTCATGCATGAACGTAACTTAATTAATTCGCTGGCAGAGCAGAAGTATGCAGTTCTCTTATGGTCTCTACAAAAAAATTGAGATGAGGTGGCACGCATTTGTTTCAACCATGCACAATTTAGAAAAATACTCAACGAATAAAAACAAAAAGATGCAAAAAATTATACTGTTAGTTAATCTGTATGTTAATCATGTCAGCCATAATATATCACGTGCAGTGGTTATAAACCTGATAAACACTCCTAATTAGTATTCTTTATATAAAGAAATACTAATAAGGCAGTATCTATTGTAGTGGTGTCCTCATTAGTATTCTCTATATAAAGAATTGACCAATAAGGCTGTCTATTGAATTTGCAATCTATCTATTGCAGTCTATCTCGCGCTGCGTGCTCGTGACTGTAAACCAGGCTTTAAACCTAATAAAACACTCCTGCATGCTCGCTTATTAAATAGTACGTTAAACATCCTCCATTAAATATATATTTTATGTATATGTATATACGTGATAATATAACGTTAAATTGCCTTAATTGTTTTAAATTCGATAGTAAAAATTCCCGTTGCAGCCATAAGTACTAAAGTTTAATAACATACAACATAATTTTGCACCAATTAGATCACGCAATATTTTCTTCTGATGTATACGTTTCGAGCTTTATACTCAGTGAATATAAAGCTTTTTGTTACCGTTTTATGGATACCGACCGCCGGATGTTTATGATGATTATATCGAGAAATATGCGTAGTACTAAAACACATAATACTCCGTTTAAGTGTAGTGGTAATTAATGTGTAAAATAGAACAAAAATGAAAATTTAAAGTCATAATTGCTGAACTATGTATTAGTGAATATGCTGGTTTTCTGTTTATATTGAGAGTATATATATGGTCTCCACAAAAAACTGAGGTGCGACGGAGATGAGGTATTGTTTTAAACTCAACGAATAAAAATAAAAAGATGTTTAATATTATACTGTTAGTTAATTAATCTGTATATGTTAAACATCCTCCAATTCTAAATACTTAAAATTCAATACTAAAACTTCGGAATTCGGGTTGCTGCCATATACAGGGTGAGTAAAAAAAACTGATACCTTCGCGGCTAATTTGAATAACAAATTATAAGGTGTCAGTTTTTTTTTACTCACCCTGTATATAAGTACTAAAACTTTAATAACTTATTAACATAATTACAACGTAATTTTGCGCCAAAATCACGCAATATTTTCTTCTGATGTACATGTCGAGCTATATACTCAGAGTCTCAGTAAATATAAAGCTTTTTGTTATCGTTTTATGGATACCGACCGCCGGATGTTTAAAGTGTTTTTTAAATTCCTGTACGATATGATGATTATATAGTCGAGAAATATGCGTAGTACTAGAACACAATACTTCGTAGTTATGTAACATTTAAGTGTAGTGGTAATTATTAATGCATGTGTAAAATAAAACAAAAATGAAAATTTAAAGTCATAGGCCTATAATTGATGAACTATATTATACGTGCTTCGTTTTTATCAGTTTGAAACACTTAATATTTGAGGTTTGTCGAATGTCAATTTCGCCAATCCATCTAATTCCAACCAGTTGACATGATGTAGCTAGTGCTTTCTTTGGTTCTTCAGGTTGTGAAAATGTTCTGGTGGTATACAAATATAATGCGGCTTGCATGCTGAGAGTTTCCGAGGCTTCAGCATTTGTGTCCAGTATGGATTTCCAAGGTCAAGCTCTTATGATTGTTTTTATTATATTCTGAGGCACGATTTTAATATGATTTAATATAACACTTCTATGTATAATTAATCTATAGTTCATGCATATTATAAACGATTTTTCATAAAAAGCAGTTACTTCTCCGAGTTTGAGCTTTGTTTCCATTTGATCGAAACTGTCGCGAGCACTAAGTAATTTTCAACGATGCGAAATAGGGCTGTATCTGTTTTGTGAACTGTATGCAATGATTAGCAGAAATTTCTGATAATAATAATAAAAATAACTACTGTATACGTCAGCTGTCTTGACATGCATGTTTTATTTGCGACTGTTATATGAAACGAGGCTGAAATAAATTACACAAATTATGTTTGGAATGGCAATACATAAATTAATGTCCTTCAATTCGAAGTTCTAGCTGCGACATTTTATAAGTACGGGAAAACCCATTTCCGTCAAAACAGTCTACGCCCTCCCCAGCACGCTTTTACGCCCTCCTTATATGGCTGCATTGTGTGGGGTATTAATCTTGAATGATCTTCAGAACAGAATGCAATACATTATGCATATATGGAAGATCTTAAAAGAATGCATGACCCTGACTGAACTTCGTTTATTGACATATTAATACTATTATCAGCGACCTGATAAACCATCTTCCGCTCGAACATATGCGTGTGTATATATTGCACTATTTATTTCTCAAAGAAACTAAAGCTCAAGCTTTAACTTAAGAGTAAGGGATGGGATTGTAATGATGGTGAATTAGAACACAGAAAAATTTGAGCTAAAGTTTTGAATGCTATTATTCAGGCATATCAGGCATATATATATATATATATATATATATATATATATATATATATATATATATATATATATATATATATATATGTATTTAGAATCATATATGAGTAGAGTGCTCGATATACCGAAGTATAGAGCTAATATAGATAAAGATAAAATAAACCTGGTTTACTTCATAAGATTTATTCACAAATAAATAAATAAATAAATCTTATGAATAAATCTTAAATCTTATGAATAAATCTTATGAAGTAAACCAGGTTTATTTTATTTTTATCTATATATATATATATATATATATATATATATATATATATATATATATATATATATATTTATATTA